ATTTTTTTTTTTTCTTTTTTTTTTCAGCCTAGCAGATCAAGAAAAAAGGCTGAGAACAATACCAGGAACTGTATATGGCCTTTATTGATTTGACCAAAGCCTTCAACTCTATTAACTGTGAGGCTTTATGAAAGGTCTTATCAAAGTTTGGCTGCCCAGGGAAACTTATCATCATTCTAAGACTCATTTGTGACCAGGTAACTACTTATATCCTATGCAGTGGCTCTGCTATGGAGCCCTTTGCCATTTGAACTGGCATCACAGGGCTTTGTGATTGCATCAATTCTGTTTTCTATCTTACGATTATCAAGATGCTCACCCATTACCATCTGCCATGTGGCATCGGCATCAACTACAGGATGGATGGAAACCTTTTCAATCTCTCCTGCCTCTGTCCCAAAAACAAATTTACTTTTGGCCTTGAGTTGTGGAACTTCAGTATGCCGATTGTGATGGTATTGCATGTACAGAGGAGGGCCTACAAATGGCCTTTAACTCCTTTCTCAAGCATACCAGTGCCTGGGACTGACCCTTAACTTTGGAGAAATAAAAGTGCTACACCAGCCTGCTCTAGGCGAATCAACTCCCCAGGCCAAGATCTTTATTGACAGACAGAAGTTGAAAAATGTTGAACACTTTGCATACCTCAACAGCCATCTCTCAAAGGCAGCCAAAATTGACCAGAAGATCCAGTATAGGATCTGATGTGCCAGCTCTGCCTTCAGAAGACTGAATCATCACGTGTTCAATGATCACAGCAACAAGGCTTGAACAAAGCTCCTATTATATAAGGCTCTGGTAACTCCAACTCTGCTCTACAGCTGTGAAGCTTGAGTTACCTACAGGGGCCACCTTAAAAGCCTGAAACACCATCACCAGCACTATCTCCAGAAGATCCTTGGCATAAAGTGAGAAGATCATCACATAAACACCGGTCTCCTCACTGACGTTAAAACCATCAGTATGGAAGCATTGATTATTCAACATCAACTGTGGTAGACAGGGCACTGTGTGTGCATGCCTGATGTACTTTTACCAAAACAACTGCTATACTCCCAACTCAACTAAGGACAGAGGACATGCAGGGGCCAGAGAGAACACTTCAGGAGCACTCTCAAGGTGAACATTAAAGTGTAGCTTTGACATCACAAATTGGGGAAAAACTAGCCCAGGAAAGAACTATGTAGCGACGCCTTATGAGAGAAGGTACATCTTGCTATGAGAAAAACCACCTCGCCCTGGAGAGCAGAAAAATGATAGAAATGAAAGATAAGGAAATGAGACCAAAAATCCATAGTCTGACCTTCCCTTTGATTACCACCTCTGTCATCTGCCAGAGAGACTTCAACTCTAGGATCAGCTGCCTCAGCCATCAGTGGGCTCATTTACAACCCTCTACTTGACACATGGGAGTAGTCATCCTCAGCCATGAGGGACCACTGCCCCAATAGTGTATAACTGTTGATGTCCATAGGGGCTGGAAGGATGGTTTGCTCACAAAGGAGGGGAGACGGGTGTTCCTAGAACCGTGAAGCCGCTTGCTTTTGAGATGAATACCAATATTTAACATCTGTCTGATGCTTCTACCTCACTGTGCTATGAAAATATATTTGGAAACACTTCAAAATACACTTATCCTGTGAAGTAGCTTTTAGCTCCTGTCTTGTGGGTAGTTGTGGAGACTCATAGATATTTTGTTGGTTATACCTGACCATAATTGCTTTTAAATAAGTCTGGTAGTATTAAAGGCATTCACCTTCTGGGGCTTGTTGGATTAAATTTGCCCTAGTGCCAGGGTGCTACAGAGAATCATAACATAGGACCTAGCTAATAAAGGTTGCATTCCAATGGTGTACTCACTACAATACTAACAGAATTTCCAAGAAAGAAGATCTGGCCCTTCCTAAAAAAATGTTAAGGGTGGGGAAGGGAGAGATTTAAGTTGAATCAAAAGAGATGTTGTCTCTCTTATTTTTAATGACAGGGTAAGGCAAAGGATTAAGTGGTTCCACCTTAAAAGGGATTTATTTGTAAATTAGTTCATCTTAACATGTTCCTAAATTTAGGAAAATATTAGTCAAAAGAACCATTTTGGGAAAAAAAGGTCAAAAAACTATATTTTAAGAAATATTGAAGCCATTTTATTTTGATGGCATCTAAATTAAAATGTTCCAGTGGTTGGTTGGTTGGCTTGTTTTTTAAATGTTCCCATTTTTTCCTTCCCTTTTTTTTCTTGAGCTGTGACACTGTATGCCATACTTTAGAGTAGCTTTGGTCTTCCTCACTGTTGTTAAGCAAAAAAACTTCAAACTTCACCTGTGATATCTGGTTTCTGGCTTTGTGCTCAGACCGCTAATCCAGGGTTTCTTGACCTCTTACATCTTTCATTCCATCAAAGCTGCCTCTTGTTACTCTTTTCCCCACATAGACCACGCATTACTCTCTTGCCCAGAATCCTTTGTGCTTTCTATAAAAGTTAATAAAGGGGAACAAGGGTTGAGTCGGACCCTAAACAGCATGCAAAGGAAAAGACAGGTTTCTCTCTATTTATGCGGGTTCGATTTTTATGCATATTTGCTCTTATGCAATGACCCATTTGTTCCTGAAATTCGTTATGTGAGGTATATTTGCATGTATGCAATCAGCATAGGCGTGTTCCACCCTCCCCCAAGCAGGTAAGCCCTGAGTTTGTGAGGGAAGGGAAAAAGGCCATGGGGCCAGGCCCCACTCACCTGTCCCTGAAGAGCCTAGTGCCGCTGCCAACCTGAGTCTGCAGCAGCTGCTCTGGGAGTGGCCAATGCAAGCTGCCTGCAGCGGCTGGGTGCACCGTGCCCCAAACCCCCGTGCAGGGTGTAGCCCAGCAGTCACAAGCAAGCGGCATCCACCATTCCCAGGGTTGCAGCAGGGGCAGGCAGACACCTGCAGCTGGACAAGAGCAGGCTGGGGCCAGTGGCCACTGTAGGCTTGGCCCAGCAGTAGCACCAGGCTCTTCCCGGTGCTCGGAGTGAGCCACGGCAATGGGAGGATGGCTGCTGCCACCTCAAAATTTGCCATAGCCCCCTGCAACCTGCCCTCCTAGCACCACTGCCGAGCACTGGGAAGAGCCTGGTGCAGCCACCGTCCCCAGCCTGCTGTCATCCTGCTGTAGGTGGCTGCCCGCCCTTGCTGCAGTCATGGGAGCAGCTGACGCAAGCTGCGTGGGCTGCACCATGCTGGGGGCTTTGGGGCATGACGCAGCCCGGTGGCTGCAGGCAGCTTGCTTTGGCCGCTCCCAGGGCTGCTGCAGCAGGGCCTGTGGTGAGTGGGGAGAAGTGGAGTGAGTGGGGCTGCTGCCCACCCTGAACACCACGAAGAGCCCGGTGCTGCCCCTGCTGCAGCCCCAGGAAGGACAGACACCACCTGCTTGCAGCCACTGGGCTGCACCATGCTCCTCTCCCCACCCCTTCCCTTGCCCCAGCTTCACTCCCTCCCTCCTTTATTAACCTGGGAACACATCCTTATCTGTTTCATTGTGAACTGGGTTCGCTTTATGCAAATTCGATTTATGCACTGTTCCCTGGGAACGCGTCTGCCGCATAAATCGAGGGAAACTTCTATACGCTGAGAATTTCAGAGAGGAAAATGGAAGTGGGTTTAAACAGTGGAATGCACACCACAGGAGTTACTGAAAAATAGTGGCGACTTCAAGGTGAAAGTTTTTTAGTTGTTGAGTTACCAGTCTCCTAAGTGACTCAGTCCATGATGGTCTGACTTTTTTCAAGAGTTGTCCTTGTGGATGTTTTTCCTGCATTCAACACTTTTTGGAACACCTGTGAATAGATGCTGTGCATATAGTTAGCTTGCCTCCTATAGGAGTAAGCAATACAATTCTATAGCAGATGTGGTGAGCTACCACCATCCTTCGTAGTTTGCCTCCAGTTAGAGGGGGAAGCCTGTAGGCTGTTTTGTCATTCCCATGCTATGCTGGCCTATCAAAAAAGAAATGTGGACATACCCGTGGGAAGAGGAAAGCATGCTGTGGAATGACTTCATTGCTCCAAATCTATATCTAGAGTTGCAAGCTCCTGTGCTTAGAAACAGAATGAATGTCAGGGGTAGAGCTTACAGACTATGGAATGTGAAATTAAACTACTTTCAAACCTTTGCAAAAGATGGATTAAAATGTAACTGCAAAATTAAACTGTATGGGGACATTTTGGCAGAAAGTATCAGCTGACTATTAGTGACTTTAGAAATTTAAGGCTTGCCCTTTGTACTTAAGAAGGTGCATCTAAATCCTGTCCATAAACAGAGGATGTTTGGTTTTGTGGCAGATTTGAAAAGCTAATCTTCAGAGATAAAGGCTGACATCAATCTCATTACTTTAATGATTTGTACCTTGGTCAAGTACTTAGGATTTTGCTTTATCATCCCTATAATTTCACACTAAAAAAGAAATTATGTTCAGACTGGTAAATTAGGTGTTTGGGTTTGTTTTCCTTTGTTTGCTTATATATAACATAAGTGAAATATAAAGGCTTTTGATAGTGTTCATGGATTCAGCATCTCTTATGTAAATAGTTAAAGAGATTATGTTAAAACTTAAATAAATAATATTTTTATCAGCCCTGTTTTAAATATTTTTTGTTTTTAAAAAAACAACTATTGCAACTTACAGGCTTTGTATGGGCCCTCATGCTATACTTCCACACTCTCACTGAACAGGCCTGCAGTTTTAGTTTAAAGGAGCTATCCTAAACATCTATAAATAGTGATTTTTTTCATAGACATTATAGACATCAGGGGCTGGAAGGGCCCTTGTGAGACAATAGAGTCCAGCCCCAAATGATGGAGTAAGACTCTTCCTTTCTATTCCATCCTCCTTTCTGGGAATCGCCTCCTCTACAAAGCCTGTTTATGCGTGCATTGGAAGCTTTCACATCATACATTCTTTTAGGGATTGCAGGAGTAAATCAGTAAATTATAAGCTACATAAACATTTTTGCTTTTGTTATAGGAATTCTTTGCAACATGCCTTCTGGATGGAGCTGGGTGGTACACATCTTATATTTTCTCCTGAGTATTTGCTGTCTTGGAGGTAAGACTATTCATACTTTTATAACATTAAAGAAAGAAATGTAAGTCTAGCAAAGCTTATGAGTAAGTACTTGAATAAAAAAAAACGTTGCGTCAAATGGGATATATAGTTTAATAGAAACTGAGACCTGTGCTCTTAATGCTATAGTAAAACAATCAGTTCTCTGACTTGAAGGATATTTACTTGTGTGTCCATTTTCTTGGTTTGACTTGTGCAGCACTAATGGACTTGAAGATTTGGGGGGGGGTTTGTTTGTTTTTTGCTCCCAGTTTATGACTGGTATCAATTACATTGCATTGTTATAATGTAGAGTAAGACAGGGGCATATTTGTTCTTTTAGAGACATACCCCAAACCTGCCTGGGTAACTTGAAATGAAGTTCAGTCCGGCACCTCAGTTGGAACAGAACTTGTTAAAACTGCAAGCTGTTGATGTAACACCTAGAGAGACCCAGTCAGGAACTGGATAATATATAGGTTTGTGTAGGGACCTATCCTACAAATTTGTGCTCCATGGTGGCCATTGCCACTTCAGGTTAATTTCCTGCTGATCAGTTGCTCTTAATCTGTTCCTGGTATGACACCCACCTCTGAATGTATGTGTGTACAGCACAAGACAGCTATACTGATGCACTTTCCACTAACTAGCACCAGAAGCAGTGAGATCAGAGCCTACAGACTCACATGCATTGCTGCACTACCATTCTCATTCTGAAGCTAGCTTGGCACATCTTGGTACGGTGCCTGATGCTATACTGACATCTGAGCCCCTTGCCATGTTTTCAGAGTTCTGTCATCACATTTCCTTTATTCTTACTCATGCACATAGCAGTAAATGAAACCAAAAATGATAAGGGTGATTTATAAAGTGGGGGGACAGAGTAGATGGTACTACCAACTGTCCAAATTAAATGAACCAGAGAGATTTTTCAGTTCCGGCAACTGTCTGGATGTTTTACCTGAAGTATTATTTGAAGACCAAAGGGGTTCCTTACTTTTAAAACCACACATTTTTAAAAAAATAAATAAATAAGAAAATGTCAGATAAATTATAGGGAATGAAGTATTGTAGCAGCATTCTTTCTATGAATTGGACACATTTCTGGAGGAAATTTGACTCCATAAACACTAAGTATTGTAGATGGGTGCGCAGCCTCAAAATTAGGATTACTTTAGTCCATGATTTGCTGGAAACTGTAATGGGAAAGGAGCAGAGTGGGGAAGTCTGGACATGCCCTTTTTGCTCTTTCCCTCAGTATCCACACTCGATCACTGTTGCACACCCCTGCCCTCACCCCCCCCAACCCTACTCCTGGGAGCAGGCTGAGGTGGGGGACAGGGAGGCGCTTCAGTGTGCTGCCTGGGGCTGGCAGCGCCTGGCATGCCCCCAAACCACACTGACCTCCAGGGGCGAAGGGTGAGCCTGAGCCCAGCCTTGGCTGACTCACAGGCTCAGGCCCCATCCTTCCCCCTCTCTCTCCCCCTCCAGGTAGGGCTGGGGGTTTCCCGCCCTTTCTGCAATCAGCTCTTGCAGGCTGGAACTCTGCCAGCCTGCAAGAGCTCTTTGCAAAAGTGGAGAATTCTCAGATTTCTCTGATAAAAGGGGAAATCTGTGTTTTAACCGCTAAAACCAGGGAATCCGTAGTCTTCGCTGTTTTCCATGGGAAACAGAAAACCCGGATCCCTGAGTATGACCCAGTAAATATATTCATGTTCTTAACGAATTAGTTCTGAAACTCTTTAAAATGAATGGTGTGTCCTTCTACCTTGCCTTTTCAATAAAGTTTTTAAAGTGTTCTTTCTTTATATCAGTTTATTCCCTTTATTGCTTATTCTTCACTAAATTATGCTTCTACACTTTTAATAAACAGCTTTTTTGGATAATAGACCCCTGTTACTGATCAGATAATTTTGTTTCTTTTTCATGTTCTCTTTTTTTAATGCTGCTTTTTCCCTTTGCATTCCTATCCTATTTCTCCTTTTTCCCTCTCTTGACTCTCAAATATGGGGGTTCTTCAGTCTTCCTGGGTCAGTGTCTGGTGTAGGAATGCAGCCCTGCTCAGTTAGGTCTACTGTTGTCCCATGTCTGAACATGGTGCCCTCTGCTGGGCTTACATGCTTCAGGCATACTGATTTATTTCTGGTAACAGCTTTTCTTGGCAAGAAAATCCATGCATGATACCTTATTGCATCTCATCAGTGGGCTAACTTAGCGCTTTATGTCAATGTATAACATAAGACAAGTTGCAATTTTAGTTCTCAATGAAAAGACGAGCTGGTCTAATGTATTGTCCTGTGTTAGATGAAAACTGTAATAAATAAAGTGCGAAGGTCTTCATTATGAGTTCTACTGCCATCTTTTTATTATTCTGATTTAGTTTAAATGCAATGCCAGTTGTGGTAATTATTATATCAAAAAGCAATCCGACAGGCTGAGAAATACTTTTGTAACATTTGTCTTCCAGTAGGGATTTCCTAGTTACTCCAGGCTGACAGTTGTGAGGTTTTTGATTTCCGTTCAGTAGAAGGCAATGAATGCGAGTCAGTAGAAAGCACTATTTTCAAAACAAAAGATGAATAACTCTTCAAGCTCTGCTAAAGGAACCTGTTCTCTGAGTTGTTTGAAACTGGCTACACTTCTAGTGAGAAGTACTGTTGACCTACAGATGTCCCATGATGTGACTGCTAATTTGTCACCAGCTGGCTAGAAAAACTGAATGTTCTGATTTCTTTTCAAAAGAAAAAAAAAAAGAAACCTACTGAAACCTCTTGTGTGGTTTCTGTTTAAGCCACTATATCAACTTCTGTTTTTGTGTAACAGAATAAAATTCAGATTTCTTTGTAAAAAATAAATAAATAAATAAATAATGCATATTATTTTGAAAGCTATTCTTATTGCTCCCTCATGTTTTAAAAGCTCTTTTCCAGGAACTGAGTGGATCCAAAGTAACACTTAATAGTTGAATGTCCTCCAGTCCAGTCTCCCCATCCTTTCTGCATATACCTGCAAACTACCATTTCAGTTCAGGTTCTTTTGCTGTTCTTGTTCCTAAGGGCTAAGCACAGACAGTCAAAAAGCCCCAGGCTGAATTGCTTCAGTCTTTATAGGTTAGTCTAAGCTGCAGAGATTGAACTGAAAAACAACTGGATACACATTTACTTTCGACTCGGGGAAATGCAGCCACATACCTGCACTGGCTCGGGCCAGGAGATGGGAGAGGGTGGGGGGTGCTAGACCATGGCTCTCTGTTATGTAGCCAGCATGGGCTGTGTGTTCACTTCCTCTTCCTGCTGTCCCCGATGCCTGTGGGATTTGCAGTCCAGACTCACAGTAGCAGGACTCTTCCTGCTTCCAGGCAGAGTCAGGGGCTGCTTCCAGGTGCCTCTGGGATTCGTAGTCCACAATTTGCAGCCAACAGTAAGTCTGAGTGGGGAGGGGGAAGGGCAGTCCCTGCCTCTCTTCCCTTGCCCTCCCACCCCCATTCCCTGCTGCAGTAGACAGCGCAGCCCAGCCCACGGTTGGAAAGCATGCTGGGATACTGGGGGACTGTGATTTTTAACTTGAATCAGGAAGGGATCACAGGGATCTGGGACAGCAGTTTCATAAATCGATTTGACCCAAATCAGTTAAGTTGGATGCTACATTCAACTAGGTTTATCTTTAAACCAGTTTCAGCCATTTTGAAATTGGTTTATGTGCACTGAACTTACATTCCGTTACAGGGTTAAACCAGTTTCTGATCACTTAAACTGGTTTATATGTAACTTCTGTCCCTAGCCCTCATGGGAATTGTATTGGTTTGAGCTTCTTAAGTATGTGCATTAATGATTTCCTCTTCCTTTAGTTCAGCTGACCAATAATAAAATGCTCTCAAAAGCACAAAATAAACTGACAAAATACATATTTTTTTTTCCTCTTATGAGTAGGGATCTACCTAAATCACTCCGAAGCAAAAGAA